AAAGGAATTATCCAGAACAGAGATTACTGACAACTTGTCTTACACAAATGCCAGTCGCCAGGTAGGAATGAAGGCAAAACGTGAAGAGGATGAAGAAGAAGATGATATTGAATGGGAGGAGGCTCCAATAGAGGGTGAGACGTGGCTTTTCTTTTCCACGTTCGACTCTTTTAAGTGTTTTATGGTGTTTATATCCTGCTTATTATGTGTAAAAGTAAGTTGGGATTTAAGGAGGAACCTTACCTTTCTTGCCGTATTACAGGTAACGCAAATGAAAATTACAAGGTTGGTGACTTGAATGTTGAAGCATCAGCTTCGGTAGAAGATGAAGAAGAAGATGATGTGGATTGGGAGGAAGGTTGAAGAGGCAAAGAGAATTTTATACCCCAATATATAATACAAGGTGATATTGTCTTTCTTCCATCTGGAAGGCCTTAGTGAATTACGGTAGGACCTCTGCAGTTAATCTTGTGCAGTCGTGTTACTTGTTATATTAGAGTCGATTTTAAAGATCCCTAACCTATACTTGCTTGATTTGCTGCTGATATTTCATCTTGGGGACTCTGCTGAATTGAATTGTTCTTTACCAGTTTGGTGTGCCGGAAGAAAAGATGAAGGAAAATAGATGTTTAATTGATTTAAGGAATGTAAATCCATTAGTTACCAATTACAGTGGGACGACACGTGTGCAAACTTACGGTGTATTTTACGATAGCTTTTACTTGTTTAGCCAATACAGAAGTTTAGAAATAAAGACAGCGATTGCCAGACAATTTCACCTTTCTCACCCTGTAAGGAACAACCGAGCATATCAGGTACAATATCTTTTTGAATATTTCATAATGCGTGTGCTTGTTTGTATGTTTATATTCTCATATCGTCCGATCACAATTTCGTTCAGGATTTTACTTATTGAGCGAGTTAGTATAGTTTTTCCTTGTTGTTTTTGGTAGAATGCTGCATTTAGAAGGTAATAATCCTGCATAAAACTGTTCTCTTCTCAAAGGTTTGTCTTATATCCTCTTAATATGTTGCCCTCATCCCCAGCTTTGTTATTATAAACTTTTAGAATAGAGGAGGTTGCACAACTTGTGAGCTAGGTAGGAAGTCTAGAACTCAGGGACAAGGCTGTAGGAACAGATTCTGTTCAAGGAAGTATAGGAAGTGATTGAAACAATCCTAGTGGGGTAGGTGGAAAGAAGTAGGAATGCCACAAGGCATCAGGATGAAGGCCATCCACTATGATATACCAAATGTGAACTAATACACAAGAATTTGCTGAGTGTTATTTGGTGAAAGTGTATGTAGGTGGGGGGTGATTTGACTTTCCCCCCCTCTTCTCATGAATTTTCCCAACCCATGCCGACATTTCTGCATAAGAATTGTCGCCCCCATTTACAATATGGCGAATGATCGGATGGTGAATATTAGATGAAGTGATAAGATAAGCGTGTCATCTAAGGGGGAAATAGCCGACAGAGTGATTCCCACTTCCTGAAGAAAAGGGGATGCTTAGTTTTTAACAAAAAATATCGTTTAGGAACTTGGGGTTTGCACACTCAACCATATTGGATCTTTGTTGTTTGTGTGTTGCTTACTCTCCTGGTTGGCTTCCCCTATTCCAAGCACCACCACCACCACAACACATATTCATCTCAACCCGGGCAATTGGCACACACCCAGTTGAAGAAGGCTTCAACTTAGAGAGTTTTTGAATAGATATTGTCCGTTTTGGTCCGTTACGGATCGTAGCCAGTCTCATGGTTTTAAAATGCGTCTGTTCGGAATAGGTTTCCATATTCTTTGTAAAGAATGTTTCGTTGTCCTTTCCAACCAACATGGAATCTCACACTTTCTCTATTAATTTATTACTGGAGAGAGAGAGATTGGAAGCATTTCCTATCTGAAAATTAAGAATACGGTAACAATAGTATGTGTGTGAGTTGTAGCCAAATGGACCTCGAAATCTGCAAAACAGCCACCATCCCACACACCCATTTTCCTAAACTTTGATCAAATTTTGAAGTCAGCTCTTCTCTTTCCCTTCTTCCTTCTGTTCTTTTTTATAATCTCTCTCTGTCTCTCTGTCAATGGGTTTTGGTAATATATAATTCAAAGTTTGACAATCTGCTTTAAATGAGGCTTTGTTCCTTTAACGCAAAGGAAGTTGTCATTGAAACAAGAATTCTCCACAGTTTTGTCCCCTCCTTTCTCTCTCTCTCTCTTCCTTTCTCCTCTTCAATGTCAACCTTCTTCTCCTTCAACATTTCTTACGCTAAATCCTCCTTTCTCATTTACTTCTCTAATTCCCTTTTCTTCTTGCTCTTCTTTTTCCTCTCCATGCAGTCCTTTCTCTCCTTCTCCCTCTCCCTCTCCACACCCATTCTCTTTTCATTATTATTATCCATAATGCCTTTAACCCTCTGCAAATTCATTACTCTCCTCCTCCTCCTTTCCTCTTCAACCATCCTCTTTCATGCACTTCCTCTCCATGCCAACCCAAATGACTCCTCCTTTTCTCTCAACAGAAAGCTTAAACTTGACTTCACCATCTTCCTTCACCATCTCCATCAACGACATGATCGCCACCGCCATCACCGCCACCATCACACCAATTCTCCCCCGGCTGCAGCGGAGATCGATCCCCGGTACGGCGTCGAAAAACGACTCGTCCCAACTGGTCCAAATCCATTGCACCATTGAGATTCTTAAAAAAGGTTTTTTTTTTTTTGAAACTTCCAATCTTTATTTATGATGATTTAGTTCATTATCTTGTGATCATCTTTGTTGAACTCTATTCTTCATCAAAGTGAGAAGAAGAAGAAAGAAAAGGGAATAACTTCCCAAAGAAAATCAGGGAATAAAAAATCATTATATGTATGTGTATATGGGTTTCCTTATAGTTGTGTAAAATCAAAATCCATTTGTATCTGTACCAGGATTACTGTAATTTACAGAGGTAACTTAGAACACCAAATTCAGGAAACTGGATTATGTATTTTATTAAAGGGTTTATTATATCCAGTAATTTAATTTTGTGAGCATTAATTATTATAAATGAAGGGAAGAAGAAGACACGGCACGTCGCAGGAAACAAGGGAGTGAATAATTAATATTAATTGGTTGAGGTTAGCTGTAAAAGTGATGAAATTTATGAATATATACCAAAAGAGGTAGAAGTTGAATATAAGTTCATGTGATCACTTCCCACTTGAGGGTTATGGGGGAAAAATAATAATCACATTGGATCCTCTTTCAACACTGGAATCCAACCAATTACCCCAAAATTTGATTGCTTAATAGTTTCATACCCACATTCTAACTGTTAATTCCCGATAATAATAACCATAATTCTTTATTTTAGAGAGATTTCATAAACAATGTTTGATTTTACTCTCTAGTAGTCCCCTTAAAGGTCGTTAGTCTGAGAGATGTTTCCGCATTGTTATAAGGGATGCTTCATTCTACTCTTTGCCCTCTTTGAGACCTAGGTACTCGTTGGTACACCACACTGCTAGATGTCTGACTCTTATACCATTTGTAACACCCCAATCTCACTTATACCATTTGTAACAACTCAATCTCACCGTGCTAGCAGATATTGTCCGTTTTGACTTGTTACGTATCGCTAGTATGATGTCTTATTGTCTCATCTCCTACCAAAAGCAGCATGAAAAGGGGTATCACCATATGAATTTAATAACACATTTAATGAACTATTTAGGAATTAATTTGTAAACATTTTAATGTTTTTTTGGTACCCAATAAATCCCTATTAACAAACTGTTATACAAAGCAGCCAAATATAGGCCAACTAGTTAACAAATTAATAAACTGGAAATGAAAGAAACGGTCAGCCATAGGAAGGGCGTCCAAAGCTCAACGCCCACCACGCGTATCCCTTTGCAATTCCCCCACATACCCTTAAAACCCTCGCACCTCCACCACTCTTCTCTTTTTTTTGTTTTGTTTCACACCACACTTCCTTTCCTCTGCCATGGCCGACAACCGTACCCCCACCGGCGCCGCCGCCGCCTCCACGCTCCTCCGGAGGTTCCAAGACCATACCCCGCACTCCCCGCACCTCCTCGGGTTCCTGACCCTCTTCATCACCGCCTCCATCCTGATGTTCCTCACCGGCGTTACCCTAACGGCGGGCATCCTGGCCCTCATCTTCCTCACCCCTTTCATCATCTTCACATCACCCATCTGGGTTCCCCTGGCCTTCCTCCTGTTCGCGACGACGACGGGGGTGTTGTCCCTGGGCGGCATTGCGCTTGTTTCTGCTGCCGGGTTCTCCTGGGCGTATAGGTACTTCAAGGGGATGCACCCGCCAGGATCGGAGGGGCTGGAGTACGCGAGGAGCCGAATTTACGACACGGCGAGCCATGTGAAGGATTATGCGAGAGAGTATGGAGGGTATTTGCAGAGTAAGGTGAAAGATGCGGCGCCTGGAGCTTGACCTTCATCTTCATCATAATTGTAGTACAGGGAATTTCAAATTCTTACATTCTTATATTCTTATATACATTTGTTACTCCCCAGAGATCTCAGCCGGCTCAGTTGTTGAACCGGGTTTTGTTAGTTCGTTCTTTCGTTCCTCTTTTTCTTTGCCAATCAAGTTTTGTGTTTGGGTTTTATGGACAAGAAGATTTTGGTATTTTATATATGCATGTGAATACTACATGAGATTATTTTTTTGTCTTAAAAAAGAGCAAAAAATAAATTAATTCGAGGAGGCCGATAGCACAGTTTTATGGATCTGACTATATGTGCTACTCTTTTAACCCAATCTAGGCCAATCTAATATTTCAAGGGGACCGTGTTGAAACCCCAATTGAGACAAATATTTCGAGTGTGCACGTGTTTAAACCAACCCAGACGAATATTTCGAGGCCCACGTGCTTAAATGTTTCGAGTGCACGTTTAAACTAACCCCAGACAAATATTTCTGAGGTCCATGTGAACAAGTGAAAGATAATAGAACTGAACTATACTAATAAAGGAACAATTCAAATCTCATTCATTGATTCAAATAAATTCAACAAAGTTCATGATTTATTTATTGTGTTCGGACCGACCAATAAACATCGACCTTTTCAAACCTTACTCTGCCTTAGTATATTTTTCCCAGAAGAACACCTGGAAAACTGTGAGGAGAGGCAACAAAATCAAAATTTGAATCAGTAAGGCATAATAAAACCCAAAAGTTTGTATCTAAGTCCAGATTGTGATTCAAAAAAAAAACTCCTTGCAGCATGCTTCGGCTATTTTTCTTGCACGGTCACATGCAACAAACATCTATCATTCACCTAGCACATGTAAGTATCCTTCCAAAACGAAGGGTCATTTTCAACCTCCTTATATCCATAGGTGCTCTCTCCGATACTCTCGCACGATCACCGGCACGCTTGTAGGTGGGATCTACAGTTCAGAACAATAAGAAATAATTTTTACTCAAGGCTGCAAAACCCAAAACTCTTACCGTCTCAATTTCGACCACCGAACATCATCTCTTACATTATAAAAAGGAGTGTCAGTGTGCAAATAGAGAGATGGTAAAAAAATATGAACAGAGAGATAAGAGGAAGAAGAAGTGCAGAGAGAAGTTAGAATCAATAACACAGAAATTAACAAAAGAAACTGTAGGAGTAAAAAAGATATCAGCTGATAACCATTTGGTTTGTTGTTCATTTTTTCTCACCGTTCCTTAATCATGGTTTTCAAATGGAGCTTAAAAGGACGCTGAAAACTACTATTTTTGGTTTTCAAAATTTTTCTGAAATTTTAAGAACAGCTTTAGAAAATACAGACAGTGGTAACCTTTATCAAGGAAATGGAGAAACAAAAAAATGAGATGCACCAAATATTACACCTCTAAAGAAAGGGAAGAAAAGATTATAGAGGACCCATCTGAAGTATAACAAGCAGGAATAAAGGAACGTATCTGAACAAGTGCCTAAGACAGAGAGAGGTATATCGATTGAACCAAACTTACCACGCCATAATCTGTGACAATCATTGAGATGTAATCCGAAGGAGTAGCGTCATACCTGAGACAGTACAACACAAAGTTAGAATACGTCACTTCCAGGTACAATAACTAGTTATAGTATATCGTAGTCAAATCATTGATTTACATTAAATTTAGAAGTTGCAATTGTTCTTTAGCAGTCATATTATCTAGATAATTTATATCCTTCCTTTCGTGAACCTTTGAGATAGCATCTGGATCACCTGCGCAAAATTTGAAAATGCTCAGACATTGTCCATTTTCCCTCTTCTGGAAGGAAATACGGGAAAAGATAACATGATAATATATACCTAATTCATTGAAACATATTGAGTCAAGCTGTACCCTTTCATGAAATTTATAAGCTTCGCAGCAGATTAAGACTGGAACACGGAATGCATTAGCAACCATGGCAACAGCTGCAGTTCCCACTCTTGAATATACAGTTCCATTAGATAATACTGCAGCAGCCCCGAGAAAAACTCGCGTCACTTCATGCATCACATAAGAAATAGCATTGATATGAGTGTATGTACAATTTAGGCCCCTCTCTATGAGCCTACGAAGCAATGCTCGCCCTTCTTGTTTTGGACGGGAATCCACCACCACAACACGGAATTCTTTTCCGAGTTCATGGGCATGTAATAGAAGCATCTCTACAACAGATGATGATCCATATGTAAGAAGAACATCTCCATCCCTTATTTTAGTAGCAGCATGTCTAACTATGACCTCATCCGCTATTATAATCTTTTCATTGATAAAGCGATTGATATCTGAGCAAAGCGTAGCTTTTACTTCAGATTCCGGAAGATTCAATGGTAATTTGGCAATGCGGTTTTTCAAAAACCTAATAGCATTTCCCATGCTAACAGATAGTGGCCTACACTCGTTGAAGAATGACACATAGCCACCAATTTTTGCAGTTAAATCTCTACCCAGAACCTTCTGTGGCGGAGTTGAGTAGTCTTTGATAGCCTGTTGAAATGCATGAAGCATAACAATACAACGAGCATTGCCTCCACATATATCTCCGGCCATATATTGTAAACCAACCTGATAAAGTATCAATATGTGACTAAATTAAACAAACAATAGTCAACAAATTTATCATGGACAAGCATAAAGTAAAGACAATTAATTAATTATTTCATCTATAAAATAACAAAAAATGTTGGCATATAAAGAAGCCATTCGTGCAAATCACGAAGTTGTGGGTGCATGAGGTCCATAAAAATAAAATTACAGTCAATAGTCATCAATATTGGATCAGAAAACATAACAGTCCTAATCAACAGGCAAAGCTATGAGTTCTTCTTCTGAATTGGGAAAAGTAAGAATCATGTAAAGGTTTTGCATTCTGGTGAACTTACCATTTGTATTCTTCAAAGCATGGACAAATTATCCAATTTAATTCAAGTTCTTCTGTACTAAACAGATTCCATGCTTGTAGTATCTCCAGTCAAGAGAAAACTAAAATTATACCCCTCCACAAAAAAAAAAAAAAAAAGCACCTTGTAAATGGCAGGATGAATAGGGTCAAGTTGGAAAAACTTCGACACGAGATCAGGAAGCTGAGTTCCCTGCTCGTATTGTGGCAAATGGCGAAATAATTCGACCCTATTTCTTGCTTCAGTTTGGTTGAAAACGGCTCGCTTTTTAGCCTTTTCTACCCTATTTTTATCATCAAACTGCATTCGTGGAGGGGGAGCATCTTTCTTCCTTTCTTTATCAAGTGTGCGATCACCTCCTCTTTTGTCAGTAGGTGCAACCGAAGGCATGGCATTGTTATCTTTCATAGCCAATGACTGCTTCACAACTTTACCAGGAGCATTACCTGAATTATTCGCCTCACCTTTTATTAAACCAATGAACCATATATCAAAATAAATAAATAAACATATGAACTAACTATTATATAAAAAGCTCTTGCAAAATTTTCTATAACATTAATAAACAAATAAAAGGAAACAGTGAGACCCATTGAAAAGTTACTCATGAAATTAGCTAATCCAGGTATTAGAAATTTTTAAGTGCACAAGACAAGGAATTATCAATATCTACAAATACTCCGATCTATTGATCCACTAAATTGAACCCACTAAACGCTCTACATTTCTTAACTTCAAAAGAGTGCCTCCTCGCTGGCCAGATTTGTTTTTCTGAATAATCAACACTACAATATTGCTCCAAGTACATTTAAAATGATTGGAATGGAAATTGAACCTTTTGCAGCTCGTTGTGCCTCCTGTAGAGCTCGTCTTTCAGCCTTTGTTGTTTTTGCCTTCAGGGGTTTCGAATTTGATGGTGGTTGTCGATTCTGTACCTCTGTGGATGCCCCCCCGTTCTTTTCTGCAAGAGCAGTGAAATGAGAAATCAATAATCCCAGAGACAGAAAGCAAATTGAAGCATGTTCACGACCATGTAGAATTTCATTGTTTTTTTTCCTTTTCTAATCCTTGATTCCAAGAATTCTTTGGGCCATCAATATCGAAGGAGTACAAAATTGGGTACTACGGCCAGATCATGCAAGCACGTCAGAATCAGAAAAGAATTGACAAATTCCTATCAAAAGTGGATTATTTAATGTTTTTTTTACTGTTGTATATGCTAGTTTTATGCAATAAACAACAGAAAATAAGAATACTCCAATGTTACACCTTCCAACCATTCTACAAAGTCCGCCATCTACTACAATTTTGAGGGGCACATAAACAGATTGAGCTGCAGTTAGAGGGTACAACTATTACACATATCTTTAAAGGAAAAGTAAGACAAATGACCACCCAAATAGGTTGATGTGCGTGAGTGTCAAAGTATACCCCTCCCTATCCCTTTCTTTGAATTTTCTGCAACCTCTCTTCTAATGGTTCTTATATTGCCCAAGCTTTTTTCATACTCAACTCTTCTTTCTTCCTCAAGACTCCACAAAATTCATTTCCTTCCCCTCAATTCTTTTTCGACTGCGCATCAAAATTCTAGTGTCTTTCTATCCATATACACCAAAAAAATAGCTCTAACACCGTTAAACCACGAAATTATGACCTTAATTCTGACGAGGTGACCATAAAAAAAATTGTTTATTGAACATAGGAGAGCTTGTAAGCGACCCAAGTAAGGACTGGTTGTATCAAAACAAATAAAGAAAAAAAATAAAAGAAGACATAGAATGGATTCAGTAAAGTGCAGGAAATGAAAACACGGCCACAACCTCCATCTTCCAATTGAAATGAAAAAGAAACGTACAGCAAAAAACGTAACAATTAGATGAATAAAGTCAATACTGCATTAGAATGTTGTACCTCAAAACAGAGAGGTACAGGCCCAAAATTAGCACAGACATTAACATAAAAAAATCCCCCCCCCCCCCCCCCCCCCCCCCCCCCCCCCCCCCCCCCCCCCCCCCCCCCCCCCCCCCCCCCCCCCCCCCCCCCCCCCCCCCCCCCCCCCCCCCCCCCCCCCCCCCCCCCCCCCCCCCCCCCCCCCCCCCCCCCCCCCCCCCNCATCCAACAAAGCCATGCAACGTCACCTGCAACTCCAGCAGGCTTATTAGGTTCCAACGTCTTAAGAGGCAGCGCCTGCGAGTTCTCGGACGACTTGGCCGCCATGTGGATTCCAACGCCAGGAAAGCTCGAGGCAATCTTCCCGGAACCACTCCGGCGATACCAAACGGAGGTGGAAGAATCCTCCGACATCTCCAGCTCTTCGTCCTCAATTCTACTGGAAGGCGACGCCATAGGGGACGTCGCAAGCAGCGTCTCGGAAGGGTTATAGCTGCCAACAGGAATCTGATCAGCGGAATTCCTCCAATTAGCAGGAGCCGGAACAGGAAGAACAGCAGAGCGAGAGGCAAGGTTGTCGGAGAGATGACGGGGAGGGGGGATCATAACCGGAGACAAGGAATTGGTAGGAGGAGAGAGGGATTGTTGAGAAGGGACACAGTTGGCCGGACCGGAGAGGGAACGGTCAGGGGAATTAGGAGCGTCGAGGGTGAAGAATCCGACCTGACGAACTTTGGGGTTGACGATGCGGGAGCCTCGGCGAGCATCCATGAAGACCTAGCGATGGATCCGCGAATATTTTGGCATGGGAATTAGCAGAATCCACGCAGAGAGGTAGAAAGAGAGGAAGTGGGTTCAGTGGAGAAGAGCGTAATTGGTTGCTTATGTAGCGTCCGCCATAGGCAACTGAATCAGAAGAACAAGAACAGAGGTAGGAAATGGACGCGATGACAACAACCCCTTCCTTTTCACCACACGGATGCAATCAATTTTGACGCATCCAATTCACCAATTTCTTGCCGCAAACCCTAAATTCCCTATTCTTAAACATTTGTGCTACCCTTTTTAAATAATAATTATAACAAAATAAAATTAAAATTGTGTGTTAAAAAATTTTGTTTTTTTTTTTTTTTTAATTAAATTCATTGACTAATTTTATAATTTTAAAGGTTTATTGACTAAATAGGCAAAATACAAAATATTAAATATATAAACTCTATTTTTTAAATATTTTTTCAATTTTGTAATATTTGAACTTTATTTTATTTTTTTGGTTTATTGTAAAAATTGTAATATCTTAATTAATATGATTTATTTACATTTAAAATATATTAAAAAAATGTACTATTTTTATTATCTAATATTGAAAAATTTGTTTGTTTGTCCTTTTTTATTGACAAGGGAGAATTAGATTCCTGTGGCAAAAGGAGGGGTAATTAAATTTAATAGGAAAATAAATATTCAAAAATCAACCACATCCCCCTTTGTCCTTACATGCTCCTACAAACATGTATTATTTGTCCTTAGTAGCCGACCAACATAAGATTGCCATATACCTACTAACTTCTTATTTGTTAAACAGTTTTTTTTTTTTTTTTTTTAATTATCCTATTTTTAAAATTACTCTCATTAAGATATGATTTAATCTTATCTCCATTATAAAGAAAAATATCGATGTCAAATAGAAATTAAATCATGAAAGACACGAAGTGTGGCAGCAAAAAAAAATTGGTTGTTATTGAAATATGGCAAACACGAGATTTAGCCGATATAGGACTTTCATCCGCTGTCCTAAGTAGAAGCATTTTAATAATGCAACACATAAATATCGTACTCAACAACTGCATCGAACGTGGAGGGGTTCAAATGATGAGTTTTGGCCAACGCATAGCCTCTAGCAAATCGGAACTTTCCAGTTCCCCCGACCACCGGCATCTCCCGCTCGTGCTCCGCAATGGCGTTCCTGCCGAAGACGGTGAAGGAGCTGCCATTGTATTTCCCGGTAGTGAAGGCGAAGGTCATGCCCATCATGAGTCCGATTTGGTCATGGGCCGTCCCCGCGTACATCCCTTGGGAGCGACCCACCCGTCGGGAGCTGGGTTCGGGGCCGATGGTCAAAGGGTTGTCGAAGAAGTTGAGTTCACCGAAGACAGTGGCCTTGTTGCGTGGCGGCAGAACAGCGACGCTGGAGGGCTTGGCGCCGCTGACGGTGTCGTGCCAATAGAGATGGAAATGGACCAAGAAGTGTCTGTCCATTTTAAGGGTTTTGGGGTCCATTTTTTTTGCGTATGAAACCTTGGGTCCGGTGGCAGTTACGTCCAATACCGACAAAAGCAAACACAGAATGACGAGCTTGGTTGCCATAGTTGTTGCCGCGGGCTTAGAGAAAGGCTGTGTCTTGGAAGCTTGATTTATTTGGTGAATCAGCAGAGCATGGAAAGCCCATATTTATATATATATATATATATATATATCAACCAAATTGGCGTTTTGAATGAATCTTCGCCATTCAATACCCTGAACGTCAGGGTCATCCCACACTTCTTTCTCCTGCAAATTATCTTAAACCAAAAATACAATTTTTTTTAATTTATTATTATTATTAAAAATTAATTATTTTAAAGTTAGGCATATGTTATTTAAAACACTAATAATATCTATAACTTTTAATGAATTTGTAAAAATACTCATAAAGTTTTATTAATATTCTTCCTGTGTTTTAAACATATATTGTTTTTTTTTAGCCTTAATCTCATTTTAGTTAATTTTAATTGATTAATTAACGAATGTTTTGATGATAATAAACCTACTCTTAATTATTAATTATTTTCAGTATTTTGAACGGCAAATATAAGATTGAGAATAACGATTTTAACGATTTTTCAACTACTCAAAATCAAACCTAAAAAAAAGAAATTACAGTCGATACAACGTACCAGACGTGATAATATGGCAGCTAAATCAAAATGATCGACCAATCGAAGTGACACTTATAATTTTGAAATAGTAATAAGGGTGGAGCTTTTTTATTATTATATTTATAAATAAAATTATTTATACCCACTCTTACTTACGTCAATTTTTATTATTACTATATTATATTATTATATTTTAAAATTTTAGGATTACTCACGTATTTTTTATTATTATATTATTATTATTATATTTATAATAAATTTAGAAATTTGAATTTAACCTTACTGGCCTTCATTTTTTATTGTTATTATATTTATAATATATATATTTACTTTTATTTTTTCACCTTTAATTTATCTTTTAACCCTAATGGTTAATACTAATTCATACTTTTTTCACTCTTTAAACCCATCAATTTCTCCATATTTAAAAAACACACCACTCCCATAATTTAAAATTTTATTTTTCTTATCTTATTCTTAAAATAGATTTTTATTGTACTGTGAAAAAATAGTCGTGGATGCTCAAATTGTAAATTTACTCGAGAGTTGTGTGTTACTACAAAATTCTAATACTTATACCGATTTTATCCTGCGTGGAAAGAATTGAGTTTGCTCTTGAATTTTTAAAAAGGGTGGTGTAGCGGTTAAACTATGATTCGTGGGAAGAATCTTTTATTCAAATTTACAAGAGGTGATTGAAGAGTGGAGTAGGTTGATTTTGAGCCAACTACTATGGTATCGTATTTTCTAACTTTTTCCTATATAATTTTAAAATTATTATTGCTATTTATTACGACTTAAAACTATTTTCTTATATTAATTATCATTTTCTACATGTTTTTAAAAGTATCACAATTAGAAAAATTAAGCACGCTTAAATAGTTAAAACCCTATTCAACCCTTAGTTCCAGATACAACAAAAGTATCATTAATACATTTTATCTTTTATTAAAAATAAAAGTTTTGGCGTCAATATATGAACAAAAATAAATTTTAAATAATTAAATAAAAAATAATTAAAAAAAGGCGATGTTTGTCATCATACTCACCACTAAGAAACTTCAATCTCTACCGTCCATTTTTATCCCAAATCACTTCATCAACAGTAAACTAAAGTGAGATGCATAGTAGTAGATGCACCTCAGCTTCACCGTAGAACTCCACTTTTTATTCGAAAAAGATTTTATCTTTAATTATTTCGAATTTCATATAAATTAAAGCGCGAAAGTGTAATCCAACGCAGACAGAAGCATTCGAAGCTAACCCCACATCTCTTCAAAGGTAACAAACGGTTTGGATCTAAAGACAAAAATTTGACCGTTGCGAACTTATAAATTCAAAATTGTCCGAGGCAAAAATCTCTACCGCCACTCCATTTATTGCTCCATCCACTCCACTCTGCCTCCGCAATTTCAAAAGGGGCCACTGTGGGACGGAGATTGGAAGTAGCAAAAAAGTGGAGTGCCCCATTTACTCCCGATTCGGTATCAACCGTCCATCGCCATAAGATCAACGGCCCAGATTCTCTAACAGTAAACATTACTCGTTCTTCATTTCCCCCCTTTCTTTCATAGTTCTACTTCTGTGAGCTCGTTCTTCGTTTTTCCCGCAGAATTTTTCACTTTCCAGGATTTTTTTTTTATACCATTTGGATTATCAGCAGTTTTTCCGAGCTGATCCAGTGAAAATTTTCTGGGTATGTTAGGGTATTGAGAAAAATCCAAGAAAAATGCCTGTTTCGACTCGGTCTCGGATCATGAACGAAGAACATATTGGTGCAGTTCCAGGTCAAGAAGATAAACAGCAGCTGAATCTTCCACCTAGAAGTCTTCACCATGGATTGAAAGAGAAGATGAAGGCATTAACCCTTTTGTACGAGCAGCAGAAGCTTGCTTCTGCAGCTCTTAAGAGGCCGTCACCAAAAGGGGAAGTTCTAATTGGTGAGCCAAAGCTTGAGAATGTAATGAGAGAAAATGCAATGCCTAATTCCACTGTTACCAGAACTTATGTTCTTCCCCAGCTGCCGATGACTGATGCTAAGGAGAATGTGGTGGTTGGAGCTGATCGGATTGTCGGGTTTTCGTGCTCGAAAGAGGCGAGTTTGTCGACGAATGTCGCGAGGAAATTGTTGCTAGGGAACTCAATGCCTGTAGTGGAAAAGATGGAGAATGTGGGGTGTAATAAATTGCAAGAAGTGGAGGAATTGGGAGAAAGCCGGATTTTGGTGTTTGTGAGGCTAAGGCCAATGGCTAAGAAGGAAAAGGAAGTGGGTTCAAGGTGTTGTGTTAAAATAGTGAATGGAAGAGATCTTTACTTGACAGAGTTTGCTAATGAGAATGATTATTTGAGACTTAAGAGGCTTCGCGGGCGTCATTTTAGCTTCGACGCTTCATTTCCGGACACCACCAATCAGCAAGAAGTCTATGCTACCACGTAAGTTCATCAGAAAAGAATTGGCGTTTACTGATTATGGGTTGTGTTGCATTTTCAAGCTTAATATCTACGTTTCAAAAGGTTACCAATTTGAATGTGCAGGACAGCAGAGGTTGTAGAAGCAGTTTTGCAGGGAAGGAATGGTTCTGTGTTCTGTTATGGTGCCACTGGGGCTGGAAAGACATACACAATGCTGGGAACGGTTGAGAGCCCTGGAGTTATGGTTTTGGCAATCAAAGACCTCTTCACCAAGATTAGGCAGAGGAGCTGCGATGGGAACCATACGGTCCACCTCTCTTACATTGAGGTTTACAATGAAACAGTCAGAGATTTGTTGTCCCCAGGAAGGCCATTAGTCCTCAGACAAGACAAGCAGGTTTGTGTCGTACGTTGTATGACTTGCACTAAATTCATTGAAATTTTCATGCTTTTGACTGTCACCCCTTTGTCTGTTGGTTGTGTTACTTTTTATATGTATTGTACCAAATGGCAGGCACAACCTGGCTTCTTTGTATTTGTTTAGCTGGGAAGATGAGAAGAGTTTTATGACATTTTATTGATATGTCTTCTTATAAAGCTCGAGCTCACTCCTAGTAAATATTGTCTTATTTGGGCTTTCTCTTTTGGACTTCTTCTCAGAGTTTTTAAAACGCGTTTGTTAGGGAGACGTTTCCACACCCTTATAAAGAATGTCTCATTCCCCTCTCTAATTCCCTCTCCCACCAATGTGGGATCACAATCCATTCCTTTCGGGGCCCAGCGTCCTCGCTAACGCAGCGCCTCGTGTCCACCCTTTGGGGTTCAGCCTGCTCGTTAGCATATTGCCTGGTGTTAGACTCTCATTCCATTTGTAACACTGAGCCCCGAAGGGGGTTGGATTGTGAGATCACACACCTTGGAGAGGGGATTGGAGAAGGGAACGAGTGCTAGCGAGGACGCTGGGCCCCAAAGGGGGGTGGATTGTGAGATCTCACATCGGTTGGAGAAGGGAACGAGTGCCAGCAAGGACGTTGAGCCCCAAAGGGAGTGGATTGTGAGATCCCACATTGGTTGGAGAGGGGAACGAAACATTCTTTACAAGGGTGTGGAAACCTCTCCCTAGCAGACGCATTTTAAAATTCTTGAGGGAAAGCTCAAAGAGAACAATATCTGCTGGCAGTGTGCGGTAGCAATGTGTAGTAAATTCATTTGGACAAATACATCCACTTTTGGAGTTCATGAGAGCTGCACTATGTTTTTAATTGAAACATCTTGATTGACGTTCAGCTAAATGGTTATTCCAAATCCTCCAGGGCATTGTTGCAGCTGGAATTACACAATGTAGAGCTTACTCCACGGATGAAGTAACTTTCTAAGTCCCTTGTAGTTTTGAAAGTTCGATATTTTGTGAAATGGAGAAGGGACTTCTCACACTTCTTTGGGTTCTCTCCAGGTGATGGCCTTGCTTCAGCGAGGAAACCAAAACCGAACAACCGAACCAACCCGAGTTAACGAAACTTCTTCCCGTTCCCATGCTATATTACAGGTAACTCTTGCATGGTTTACTTAAAATTTTTCCTAAAAGCTGTTAGGAATCCTGATCCTCCACAATGGTATGATCTTGTCTACTTTGAACATTAGCTCTCATGGCTTTACTTTTGGTTTTCCCATAATCATCTCCTTAATTAGCCGACGTGGAACTCCCCACCAACAATCCTCAACAAAAGCCTCCTCACGTTTCTATGCTCCTGCAAAATGCAGGTTACAGTTGAATATCGAGCCAAAGACAGTGGAATGAACATCGTTAACCGAGTCGGGAAGCTCTCATTGATTGATCTCGCCGGGTCAGAGAGGGCACTTGCCACAGATCAAAGAACATTAAGATCTCTTGAGGGAGCAAACATAAACAGATCACTACTCGCTTTAAGTAGTTGCATCAATGCCCTTTTGGAAGGAAAGAAACACATACCTTATAGGAATTCAAAACTCACTCAACTTCTGAAGGATTCATTAGGAGGAGCTTGTAACACTGTGATGATTGCAAATATTAGCCCAAGCGACTTATCATTTGGTGAAACCCAAAATACACTTCATTGGGCTGATCGTGCTAAAGAGATCAGAACTAAGGTTTGACCAACAAACTTCTTGAGATCAGTACACCTCATATGGTTCTTTAGAGTGTCCTAAACTTACTGTTTTAAATCATGCATATAAATGCAGGTTGCAGAAACAAATGAGGAAATAATGAAGCCACCTGAATCTGAATTGGACCAGGCTAAACTACTGCTTGCGTTGCAGAAAGAAAATCATGAATTGCGTGTGCAGTTGACTCACCAACAACGGAAGTTGCTTACCTTACAGTCTCAATCCCTGGCTGCAGTGGCTTCTCCAACCCCATCTTCAGCCACATCTCTTCTAACTCCTCCAACGTCTGTTCGAGAGCTTCGCCACACGGTGAAACGATTAGAAGCAGAGCTTGAGAAGGCAAAGAAAGAGCACATTGTGGAGTTAAAGCACAAAGATGATCATATCAATGAGCTGTTGAAGAAAAGCAAGAAAACAGCAGGGTTGGTGAGAGGAGAAGGCGTAAAGAGGGTAAGGACAAGAACTAGCTTAAGACCAAAGGAGGAGGAGCCAAGCATAGGCGAAGTGAAGAGCCCCAGGTACCGTTTCAAATCACCAGCTCCAACAGCTAAGAAACGAAGCTTTTGGGACATAACAGCAGCTAATAGTCCATCTGTTGCCACATTAAATGGAAGGAAGACCAGAAGTCATGTACTTGCAGAGCCTCCTCCTCCTACTTTTGCTCCCTCTATGCTTCGTCAGGTACAGTTTCTCTTTCGACATTATAAGTCAACTCGTTTAGCATCATCATATCTGTTCATCTCATTTTTTCTGTTTTGAACCACACAGCCAGGTTTTTCTCGACAGAAGCCATAGCTATTGAATTGTAAAACTCAAAGAAGATTGACAACAAGAGAAACAGAATGCTGACACAGCCAGGTAATACTTCTGCTTCAGCTGATGAACTTTTGATGTACACTAATGATAGCCGGTAGATTTCCTTAGTTTTTTTCTGTTCTATAGAGATTGTGTTGCATATTGTTTTATTCTTTGGTAGTCAAAATCCCTGTACTGATTAACTGGAACATATTCCACGAGTTATCTTCCAACTGTTGGCTTTGTCTGAGGAATCATCTGGGTTTTATTAAACACCCCATGAATGATAAGTTTCAACCTTATTTCTCTCTCAACTCTGTGAAATGTCAGTATTTTGTTTATGGCTACATGGTTTGTTTGTATGTACAAAGTGAAACAAGATTGCTGTTTTTGTTTGGAACTAATCTGCAATGCTCATTGGAAAGAGAGGTCTCTCGAGGGAACCCTCTCATGTAATGTACATTAAGATGAGAACTTAAATATGACGGCTATATATAATATGAGAATGTAATCATTAAGAAGTATAGCAGAGAAACTTGAAATAAATTGCCAAAAGTTAATGAGTTTGTTATGCCTTGCTCCCTTCAAATCAGATTTGGAGATAAGTGCCCGAAGTCATCTATCACCTACTGTGAGATCTCACCTCAGTTGGAGAGGGAAACAAAATATTTCTTATAAAAGTGTGGAAACCTCTCCCTAGTAGACGCATTTTAAAAACTTTAAGGAGAAGCACGAAAGGGAAAACCCAAATATGACAATATCTGCTAGTAATGGGTATGGGCTGTTACAAATGTTATAGAGCCAGATGCAGGGCGGTGTGCCAGTGAGGACGTTGGACCCTCAAGGGAGGTGGATTGTGAGATCCTACATCGGTAGGAGAGGTGAACGAGTATGGAAACCTCTCTCTAGGAGATGTGTTTTAAAATCCTGGAGGGAAAAGCCCGGAAGGGAAAGTCCAAAAAGGAGTAGCACAACGCAACTTGATCCTCATTGACTCGAATTCAATTGCTTGCTTCATAGCAGCAACTCAACATATCAAATCTCTGTGAAACAATGACTTTTCCAAGTGCTTAAAAACACTCACCTTCTTAAACGAAACATTCTTTAATGAACTCCCTATCCATAAAACTGTCTTATAAGATGAATTAGAAGAACTTTCAGAAAATCCTGTTGTTCATTAAACTCCACTCTGACCCACCAACTGCCAAATACTCAGATTATAACTGGACTCAAGAAACGTTAACAAAAGATCTCAAACTGCTCTAACAAAGCTCAATAAACAAACTTTCTGTCGTGTCGGTTTTTATCTACAAAGACGACACTTCTCTTAACTTTCTTATATTTCCAAGACAGGCAAAGACAAAGGTAGAAGGACCATGTGTCATTTTCTCATTTCAATGCTGCTTAATGAGTCAAACTGGTTTACTTTCCTTCATAACTGATATAGGATTAACTTCTTTGACCTTGTTGAAACAAAAGATTTGTGCTTCAGAGAGAGAAATGATGTGAGCAGCCACTAAGATTTTGAAATGTTTTGAAGAATGATAAGCAATCATCAAAACTCAGAATGGGTTTTCCTTTCTGTTAAGAGATAATCTTTTGAATTAGATTTTGACCCATCTATGAGCCAAACCCCCTCCTCTCCCAATGAATAAAGTAACAAAAGGCAGAGTGAGGAAAGCCTTGAAACTAGGAAAAGTGGTGGCCAGAAACTCCACACTTTCTTCATATGTCCAAACTGACCATCATGGAAGGAAAAGATTTCCAGAACTGTGGAGGAGAATTTAGTAATTCAAAAGAACCAAATTCCAAAGTGGGGAAAAAGAAAAGGAAAAGCAGTCAAGAAATGAAAAGGAAAAAAAAAGAAAGGCGCATCTGTGCTTTTGGGAAGAGGACTGTGAAGTTTTTTTAATGTATAAATATTGCTTTTTATGACTTCCATGATTTGGGTCTTGCAAAAAGTTGTATTGGGATCATTTTAGAGGCAACTATGAGGCCAGGTAATGATTGAATGCTCTTCACTTTAAGACCAAGAAGAATACTGGTGGGTAGTCGGCCTACACAGAAAAAGAAGAATACTGGTGGAAGGAGAAGAAAAGTAAAGTAAAATACAAGATCATTGGCTTCTTTCTAGGTACGGAGAGAGAAGGGATCCTTGTAATCATATGATGATTATAGCTATTAACAAAGAAGATGATCCAAATGTAGCTAAAACCTCAAGTTTTTAGGCACCAAGTTGATGGTGTCTTCTTTCGTGCTTTCTTTTTCAGGCTTTCCCTCAAGGTGTTTAAAACGCATATGCTAGAGAGAAGTTTGCACACCTTTATAAGGAATGTTTCGTTTCGATGTGAGATCTCACAATCCTCCATCCTCTCCGCAGCCAGCATCCTCACTGGCACACTGTTCGGAGTCCACCCCCTTTAGGGCTTAGCGTCGGAGTCCACCCCCATTAGCACACTGTCCGGTAACTGACTTTGATACCATTTGAAACAGTTCAATCCCACCGCTAGCATATACTGTCCTAATTGGGTTTTCCCTTTCGGTATTCCCTTAAGGTTTTTAAAACATGTCTGCTAGGGAGAGGTTTCCACACCCTTATAAAAAATGCTTCATTCTCCTCTCAACCGACGTAAGATCTCACACAGAGAAAGTCGTGATGGATTTTTTTTCCCTTTTTGGCCATTTTGTTGTTTTAAGACTATGGTACCTGCTTATGTAAATACGGAGATGAAGTTTCTTTTTTTTTTCGAGATAAAAAAAGACGACCCTAATATAGTTTTGTGATCTTTTGTTTGAAGAGAACAAGGATCTTCTTGATTTCTCTCTACATTATAACTTTAGTTTGGAAGTTCAAACACAAGATGATGGTGAATGCGTAAAGTAAACTATTTGAAAGTTGAATGGGCAATCCTTAAAATATGAAAACAGAACAATCATAATTGAATGTGACGCCAATTAATCATTTGGCTGCATCATCACATCACATGCCCAAATAACATTACATATTTTATGATATCATAAATTGGACAAGACAACACAGCCTCTGTTGGTCCTGTAGGATGGAGATTTAGCCAGTAAAGATGAGTAACATTCTGGGAAAAATCAAACAAAACTTTCTAAGGTAATTGTAATTAATCATGAATGAACAGACACTATACTTTACACCTTCATCTCCCCACCCACCATCGTCTTGTAATGTATCCCCCCACACCCAGCAAAAAGAAAGAAACCTAAACTGGCAATGATACATAGTACAGCACATGAACAAGAGAAGAAACGACAGCACATGGAGTTGGACTTTAGCTAAGCTGCTGCTGCTGAAATGAAGGAACTTGAGTAGTGATTTAGATAAACCCTTCCATGGTTGCTCAAATTATACTCTTAGCAAATAGATACTGAGCTCAGGAGCTCCATTACTGTCTGGGTTCATCATGTAGAAAGCTTCAGAATCCCTTGAGCCTACAATTCTCTCAAACTTTGCCCTCATGTACATGATATCACCATCTGATCCACCTTCTCCTTCTCCACTGCCACCACTGCTGCCTTCGGTGCCTTCGTCCTCCACCGGTAAGACACCAGCGCCCATGGAAATTGGCTCCACAGCTTTCAATATCTTCAACTCCTTAGGTCCACATTCTCTCCTTGAAGCAAAGCCACATTTCTTCCCATTGCAAAATGTCCTCCAAACAGGCTCTTCAAGTAGTCTCCCTCCTGGTTTCTTGTTCACATCCTTCTCTTTATCACATTCCAGCGCAATTCGAACAAGTCCAGATGCCATTTCCTTCACCAGACCACTGATTGGTGTAGCAAGCTCGATCAAGAAAGCTGGATGTGAACTGGGATCTCTCTGAAATGCAAAATGTACATGCCCCCGGCGAGAACCAAATAATGTTCCAATCACTCGAGAACGGAGACCAAGTTGTGGGTTGCGGTTGCGGCCAAGGGCGGTGAGAACCGAACGGAACCGAGAGACAGCGAGCTGTTGCAGTTTCCTCCTGGTCAATTGTGCTCGAACCTGCTGCTGTTCCTGTGGCTCCTGTAAAATGGACTTGGCGTTCTCCTGCTTTTCTTCTTTGGCAGAGTCTGATGATTTGAAGGTGGAATCGTCTTCTTCTTCATTACTGACCTTCCTTGTCCAATGGAAGTGCCTTCGGGATGAGAACTCCAGAGCCATTACTGTCTGCAGCTGAGAAACCAGGAGGAAGAAAGGAAGGCAATTCTTTAGAAGGTTGGTTAGTAGGAGAGAGAATGAGAGGAGTGTATAATAGAGAGAATGCGGTTTCTTCCCTTTTATTTGCTATGTGGGGCTCTCATCATTTAATTCTAGTTTCAAGCTTCATTGGTGTGCCTGCAAGAGAAACCTGACAAAATAAACATAGACTGATCCACCAACTGATACGGATAGACATAAGAGAGAGAGACTTCAAATTAAAAAGTAAGAGAGAGTGAGAGAGAGATTTCAAAGTAAAAGGTGAGAGAGAGAGGCAATGCCTGTGTTACTTTCTTGTGAGATTGGCATTTGGTCGACTTGAATCGCCAACATTGAAACGATGGCATCAAAAGCCACACTCAAGCATTAGTCATAGCTGTTCACAACAGACAATCTAACGAGAATCATATCCAAATCCATGTATGAGAATGACGCACAATGCTTGTCGGGGTCATACAACAAAAATATCTAATAGTCACTCTCTCGAGACCCATCTTCTGATTCATCCAAATACAAAATGTTTAATTAAGTTTTGAAGATTTAAGAAAGCCAGGTCTCATCAGTAGACCTGATGAGATAATATATTGGGGAGGGAGGGAGGGAGAGAGAGAGAGAGAGAGATTTAAACAGTCACTACTTGTATTAACTAGACATGGATCCGCAAATATGGATATATATTACAATGCATCTTCACAGAGCCCAGAGTAGCTAGGTTAATCATTTCTTTTTTGTACATATGCACACGGCATATTTGAGGCACATATGGAAGGGTCAAGGAATCTTGCCTACGGTTGAAGAAAATAAAGATCCTAAAATTAGCTCTCTAAACTTTGCTCAGGCTCCGGTTGCTTCGGTGCAGTGTTACTGCCATTCATTCTTGCACGTGCCTCCGCAAACATTCTTTGCTGCTCAGCCAAAGCTTCTTCTTCGGTCATCTCAGCTCCATTACTCCACTTCCCACCTTTCAACGAGTCTTGCTGCGGAAATTTCTCGACAGAGAGAAAAGAAAAAATGTTAGTGCTTTGAGTTGTCTTGAGACACTCATGTTTGAGTTGAAACTAAATTTCATGACCCAATTATGAGAATGATAGAGAAGGATCCTCTTTAAGGAACAAATTAAGATAGATACTCTCCCTCACAGAAAATTTCTATATGCTCAGCCACTTCAATCAATTCATTGAAAAGGTACTATAGCAAATATACCGAAGCATTACCATAGTTTCGTGCCTGTGTTGTTCGTATGCAGCATAAACTTCCTCAATGTATTCACTAAAACCAAGCACCTGATCATATATGTAAACATACGTGTAAGTCCAAAAGCAGACATAATGTAGAAGTAGCCAAGCAAAAGCTGTATAGATCAATCTTCTTCAAACACAAGAACGAAAAGTTCCAACTAAAAAGGACTTTCACCCTAGTGTTCTTAAATGCAATCAAACTCCACATGACATTATTAACATATATTGCGATTTATCTCCTCCATTTCTATAAAATAGCAGGAAACTATTTTCTGTCAGAGCTAGTTAATGTTTGACCCATGCCTGGGGTCAAATATATAAGAAGGCAGAGTAGATTCAAAATAAATTCTGTCCTGAAAGTATTTATAGATTTAGATAGGAAGATATGAGCAGTGCTTAAAGTAAACAAGATAATAAAAAAGAGGGTTAAAATGACTGCATGATCAGAATGGTACGCACAGCAAACCAATTAAATAGACAAGGAGCATATTATTGGTAAGGTATAGTTGGGTCACTGAAATTATTATTTCACTGAAGAACATTCATTTATTTTATGATTTGGTTCTTAAGTTGTAGAGCTATATAAAGCAATAATGAAATCAACTTCTACAGAATGGAAATTTTGAGTTTCACGGAGCTGGATGGTAAACAAGAAATGCTAGCGTATACTTTCCCAAAACATAATAACAAGCAACACATAAAAGTCTATATTTTTAAGAATATAAAGGAAACTTGGATAGTCCATAGACCTCAAGAGCCTTGAGCACGTGCTCAGGTGCAATTGTTCTTTTTTCTTCTTTGCTACAAACTTCATTAGACTCGGATGATACAAGGTTTATAAACTCTGCAAGAACACCAAAACGAAGAGTGCAATTCTTGAGTAAGAAGTGATAATTGGTCAGCAATAAAAACCTGCCACCACCTTAAAGAGCTGGTTTGTGTGTGTATGTGTGTGTGTGTGTGTGGGGTGGGGGTAGGGGGAGTGGTGACAACAGTAAAAAAAGGTACAAAAAATCAACTTAACAATAAAATAGTACAACAAAAAGCTATGCCTGAAGACAAGCACTGGCCATTATTGTTGGAAGAATAATAGAACCACAAACGGACACTAACAGTAGTACATGCGACCAACACAAAATGTTAAAATATACAAAGAAAATGGCAAATCAAGATATTCTCACCTACACAACACTCGATCAGAAGGTCTTGGGCGTCTCTTGCAACCCGTACATCAGGGGGCAACATCTCTTTGATAATTTTGGTCATAGTCGCTGAAAAAGAAAAAATAAACAAAACATAAATTTAATAACCCTAAACAAAGACAGGGAAATGCAAAATTATGGTTTACAAAACAAAAACACTTGCTACCCTAAGCATAGGTCAACTGGTGAAAACGCTATAAACTCGAACAAAAAATGAAGATTTGAATCCCCAGAACAAACCAAAACCAAGACAAACTTCAGCAACTGCACAAGCATTTAAATGATGTCCAATTACTTTTCTTGTAAAAGGAAGGGAGCCATATTATGTCACCAAAATACATCATATGATCGTTTAAACGAATTCATCTAAGCTAAGAAAACTGAAAGAAAAAGGACATGGAGTAGAGGAACCTCTAACATTTGGAAACATAAAAGTGGCCACAGAAGCTACTTTCTTATGAAAGAAGATAGCTTGAAAGCTGAACAAGAAAAAGAAAATAAAACTGGCTCAAAAAAAGCGAAGGACAAAGAAGAAAGGGGAAAAGCCTCGAAGTAAAATGAAATTGCAGCACAAAAGACAAGCCGACTCTTTTTGGAAACTCTACCATCTTACATAGAATACTTAAAATAAGTTTTGGAAACTCAGCGATTGGTAATTCATGTAGCAGAAGTGGGATGCAAGCTAAAAACATGAATGATACCGTAGAAATCAATCTATGTTTACAGAACGTGAACACATTACAGTGAGGACAGATGAACTGAGACTCAGGCATCCAGATTTAATTATGGCATACGGCATACTAGTCACTCGCTTAACCCCACAGAAAGACTGAAAAGAAAAACAAGCAAAGGGTTTTCTTCCATGAACTCTTCTTGTCAATTATCTAATTTCAATTTCCCACCAAAAATTGCCGCGCCCCGCAACCGGGTCGAGCAAAAAAAAAAAAAAAAAAAAAAAAAAAAAAAAAAAAAAAAAAAAAAAAAAAAAAAAAAAAAAAAAAAAAAAAAAATCCAAGAAAAAATAGCTAAACACCAAGCTTAATCCTTCTCTAGTGGAAACGATAATTAACGGTACCATAATCGTTCAAGTCAAAAAATATAAATTTTCCAGACATCGACTTGAACCCACAATTCGATCCTTCAAGAATTACAGAGAATCCGTAAAATCAAAATTATTGTTCGATAGTTAAAGAAACACCAAATTAGTCCATGAATCATCTCATCAAGATTCAATATACTATGGGGGAAAATACCCCCAAAAAACACACAAAGACACCAAAAACCACCGCGGAAATTGCAAGTACCTTTTGGAAGCGATGCGTCCTCTTTAGACTTTCCAACTATGTCCATCGGCTCCATATCGAACCTTCGAGACTGCAACATAAAGAACAGACACACAAAAATCAGAGGAAAAAAGAACCCCAACCGCGGACATAAAGAATACAAACAAATTCTGGAAAATTTAAGACAAACGATGCAGAGGAAGAGGAGGAGATCGGAACGTACGGCGCCCCAGAAGCCAACGGAAAAAATAAATACGCAAAAGCGGAAAATGACGACGGCGATCCCACCGATAGAAGAAGACCGGAATCGAAGGAGGCGATCGAGGTGGAGGGAAGGGCATTGTTGATATATGCATTTTTATCAGAGGTTATTGTGGTTCTTCAGGATAAGAGAGAAAGATCTCGCTAGCAGGAGATTAGGGCAAAGGAGGCACCAATGCGTGGGCTACGCGCCAACGATGAGCGTGGAAAAAGTGCAACGGAATGAATAAGTTGGTTCACGTGGGACCCGTGGGCTTTGCCCTTTTTAGCGCTGATTGGTTGAAGGGAGAGTAGCGTAATCACGCGGTTTAGCGCGTGATAAGGTAGGAACTTTGGATGCTTTTTTGGTAATTTAAAATTTATTTATTTATTTATTATTATTATTTTTTTTTAAAGCCAGTTGTTTTTAGGATGGGTCGTCTGTTATTTGTTCTAAATGTTTGATATATTACGCCATTGACAGAGATCTTCGTGCGTCGTGGCATTCCAGAATTGGTTCTTTGGTCAAATTACGGAATTCCCCACCCCACTTCATCTGGGCCTTCAACCACTTCATCTGGGCCTTCAACCACTGCATCTGGGCCTTCAACCACTGCATCTGGGCCTTCAACCACTGCATCTGGGCCTTCAACCACTTAATGGGCCTTTCTTTTTTCTTTTCTTTCCTTTATTTCATTAAATCTCATATATCTGCTTTATTTTTCTTATTATTTTAGTTTATTTTCTAATAATTTAATGGAATTATGGTTTTTTGGTTGATTAGTACAAAATTTATATATGATTTGTGAGATTTATTTAAATTATAGAAATCAATCTAAAAAACTAAAAAATAATATGAACTGTATTAAAAAAAATCCAAGTCGTGCAAATTCAATTAGTAATATAGCATTTAATATTTACCTCACCAATTTTTCTTGCATATATATATATATATATATATATATATGTTGTTATTATTATTAATTACTGTATTTAATTTGAACTTCCAATTCTTTTATTAAACAAAAAAGAATTAAAGTCTACGAGGCTATTAAACAAATTTATCAAATTTGAAGACCTATTAGCAAGTTTTTAAATTGATAGACCAAATAATTATATTAATTAATTTTATAATTTGACATTAACAATGTTAATATTTAATTTAATCGTGGCTAATTTGACTGGTTTATATTATTCATTTTATATTATCTGATTTTTTTTTTCATTTTTTCTACCTATAAAAATATAAAATATATATATCCATCTATTTTATCATATGTCAATTAAAATGTTAATGTCATATAGTATAAATAAAGTATTAATTATTTAATTTAAAAAATTAAAAATAGATAATTATTTCATGAGAATATTGAAATGACTCTTTTTCTCAGCTTTTTCTTCAATTTAAAGACCACAGCCAATAGAGTTGTGAACATAAGGGATTTTGATTTGATAGTTCATAAGTAAAAAAGTTCATAGAAAATCCACAAGAGTTTAACGTAATGAACAAAAATTACAAGAACAAAATCTGCAGTCAGCTCTTCGTTAAAATATTTGACCCTGAAAATCTCCTTGTGAGAAAAACAAGATCAAAAGTGAAATTATAGTTTGTTGAGGATCAAAACAGAGGGAAAAACCGTCGAGTCCACACAAGTTCCGATTATTAAACGCTAATTTATTCCAATGTTCTAAGATCATGGCGGCAGTGGTTGTTAATTAGATCAGGGTGGGGAAAACTTCTGATGGTTATATTACAGTTTTCACATTTCGAAAGCGTAGAAGATTAAGAAGAAACGATTCTGACCTAGTTAAGCGATTGCAAGCCCTAGAAATTCAGAGGCAGATTTAGCCATTACAGATGCAAATTCATTGAAGCTAATAACACCATCGCCATCCGTATCGGCTTCCTTCATCATCTCTGTTAGCTCTCTGTATGTCAATGGCTGTCCCATCTTCGCCATCGATCCCGCAAGTTCCGCTGCGGTTATATATCCATTGCCGTCTCGGTCGAACGAACGGAAGACCTCAAGAAGTTGCGTCTGATTTACTGTTACCTCCTCGTTGAAATCCGGCCTAATCGCAGTCACCAATTCGTCAAACTCTACAGAGCCATTTCCGTTCGCATCCATATTAGCGAGAAGAACATGGATTTGGTCGCCGGAGGGCTTGAGACCGAGCGATCGAAGCAACGCTGCTAGTTCAAGAATCGTGAGGCTTCCATCTGAATCCATATCGAATCGTGCAAAAATGTCGCGCAATTGATTTAGCTGCTCAACTGCGAGTGCAGCCATATCGGATTTCACAATGTCGAAACAATGCGATTGATTGACGAACACAGAAAAATAAATTGTGCGAGGAAACGGCGGTGGCGGCGGCGACGGCGGCGGAGGAGGAGGAGGAAGAACAATGGCGAGCGAAAATGGTGGTTGATTTGAATCTGAAGGAGGAAATTGGCGGTGACGATTTGGAATTTATATGTCTTAAAAATAGAAAGCGTGTGGGTCGGTGGGGCCTTGTTTTTGGTACCCGGCAAAGCTTTATGATTCCCCAAGCCTTTTCTTTTTTAATGTTTTTATCCACTTACATCATTATAAACTTTTGCCCTTTTATTAATAAATAAAAACAATTAATTAACTAATTCAAATTTTTTTTTAATGTTTTTATCCCCAGTAAGTCTCCGTTGGATAATATTATCGATTTAGTTAATTCATTCCTTACTAAACCCAATGAATAATAGATGACCCTAATTTTGATTAAAAATTTATGAAGAAAATTTATAAGATTTCACCCGACCATACATTTAAGTATTTAGGTCAAATATGTTTGACCACGAACTTTTATTCATGCATCTTGCTGTCTACGATAGCGAAGCCATGTGCTTCCAACATCTATGTACGATTATTTTGTCTCCCACAAACCCATTTCTTTTTGTCTTCCCAAATTAATTTCATCAATTATTTATGCTTTTCCACATGGAAGCCTTTTATTTCAATTATTATTATTTATATATATCAATGGAAGAACAATGATGAAAGTCCCATATCTGCTAATTTAGTAATTGATAATAAATTTATGATTTAAATAGATGAAATTTAGGTATTTTATTGTAATTTTAAATCATAGATAGAGTAAAATTTAAATGGCTAGGATCGAGTAGAGAAGGTAGACCCGAATCTATAGATTTTAGCCATAAAGCGAAAGAAGGGACTGGGGGGAGTACTCTGCTACAGAATTATTGGACTGTCCGTCACTTCCGGCCTTCAAATCTGCCGTCGACTCTCGCCGGCGACCTATTTGCCGGCCATTCTCAGCCGTTGATTTTATTTTCCTTTAAGAACGACGACAAAACCGCACCACTCACTCAGCTCCATTTCTTCAACCCTTTATAGCCCCCGATTTCCCTTCAGATTCTTCCTTCCCCTTACGCAGCCATCTGTTTTAGTCCGCAACTTTCCGCGATTCCTCAAACTCTCTTCCGAACTTATAATTGATGGCAATGGCGATGCTTCCCATTTTTCACATATTTCTCAATCATTTTCATTCAGATGTGAAGGGGGTCTCTCTCTCTTTCATCCTTTCTTTTTCGTATTTCTTGTTTTAGATCTGCTCAAACTTTTTGAAATTTTTTATTTCGTTTGTTGATGATTTGGGTGTTTTTGATTTCCCCTGTTATTTGTTGTGTTTCTTTGATTCAATGGGAGGTAGAGTCAGTGGAGGCAGCGGTTCATCGACCTCTTCTTGGGATTTGTACTGATTTGTATCACAAAAACACGAACCGGTCGATAAACCTCTGCATCCAGCGCTCCCACCCTTGTTGGTTGTTCGTTTATAATTTTAGGACAACTGGGAACAGTGAACCTCTTTTGCAGTTCGTTTCTTTGACCATCTGGGACCCCTTTGTGTTTCTGTCTGCATCTTGATTAGGGGGGCAAAGGCACAACAAAATTTTCTTACCATTTTGCTTTTTTCTGCTTCGTTGTGGAAGATGAGAGTTTCTCTGGGAGAAAAAATTGAAGATGATTTTGTATTGTAGTGTAGTTTTGATTGAAACTGTTCTTATTCATATTCTCTTGTAGTTATGGGATTGTTTGGTTTGGTTGCAGCTCTAAATCTTTCCCCCAACCAGAGGATATTATCCGGTTACTACTTATGGGATAGGATCATAAATTCTGAGCTCCTACGGATTTAGTGGAATGCTATATTCAAACTATCTAGATGATATTACCAGTATTGATTAAGCTATCTCCTTTTGGAACTTTCCCATTCTTGGTGTTGTTTTGTTCAATATTATGATATCTCTTGGTTCTTAAACTGAAACTCAGTTTCTGTTTTCTGTCTCGATCTTTTGCTATTTCTTATGCTGTTTACCGTATTCCTCTTCTTGTTTTTCAATTCAAAGTTGCTCTTCTCTGGATAAGATAGAACTGTTCCTTGTTAGCTCATTGGATACTAATGGTGTTTATGCTGATGCCCTGTTGTGCAGACTCTGATCATGTCTTTTCCTTTCCATTTGGACTTGTATGAGATTATGGTGCAAGAATTCTAACATGGTTGTGGGAATTGTTCTATAATTGATGTTTCATAGATCTGAGCATAAAAGGTCTTGATGTGACAAATCCCTTGATTGGTTAATTGTTTCCACTGATTATGGATTTGGAAACTCCTCTGCCAGATTCCTATGAATTTGATGCTTTCCCACTTCTTATATATCAGATCCCATATTAGTTGAAGAGTGGAACGGAAAGAAGGGTGTAAAAAGACGTTTTAAAACTATGATGATGACGAAGATATGTAACAGGCCAAAGCGGACAATATCTGTTAGTGGTGAGCTTGGGCGGTGTGCCAGTGATGACACTAGCCCTCAAGGGGGAGGATTGTGAGATCTCACGTTGGCTCTTAAGGGGGTGGATTTGTGAGATCCCACGCCGACTCTCAAGGGGAGTGGGTTGTGAGATCCCACATCGGTTGGAGAGGAGAACGAATTATTCCTTATACAAGGGTGTGAAAACCTTAGACTGCTTTAAAATTGTGAAGTTGACAAAGGACGAAAGCGGATGTTGGACTTGTATTGAACTTGTATTGAGATAAGCCAACATCAGAGCATGTGTTGCTTGTTGTGGTTGTCATTTTTGTAACCTTTTATGGTGTCATTTGAAGAAGCCATGTCTTTTTCTTCATAGGTGGTATAGTTCTTCTGCTCATTGGTGCAGTTCAGCTTAGGAAAAAGGGACCAACTTTACTGAAAGAATCTAAGGGATGGCATGCAATACCAGTTCAACCTTCATTGCCGTGTTGAAATCAACAGTTCTGAAGTGCCAAGCTGCCAAGGCAGGCCCAGTGGATGAGGTATCAGATTCCTTTTTTTGTATTCTTTATCTCTGGGATTATTCAAACACTCTTGCCTACCTTACACTATCAATCTCACTTAAATTTTGTTCTTCTTATTTAAAAATTTGATATAAGGCGTTAGAGATTGAGCTACCCTAATGTAACTCGGGTAACCCGTATCTTATCTATTTTATTGTGTTCGGATTTCATAGAACAATTAAAATTTTCCGAAGAAAATGTGATAGTAAAAAATATATGGGATAAAGTATGTATTTTACCAATTTTTTTTTTTTTTTTAAAAAAAATTGGCCTTATAAGACCATAAAATACCAAAAAGGGAAAAAAAAATCACTAATTTATAAGGTGAAAAATCAATAATTGAAAAACGACGTCGGTGGAGGGTGACAATAATCAAACGAGGAAAAAAATGATGCCATCATATTTCCAATTATGTTCATAACATTGTGACAATGAGCTCTAATTTAAACGCTTCAATAATACGCTTGATTTTTTTATAAATATATTATTAATACTTTAGTTAAAAAATTTAGTTTTCCAAAAAATCTCTTTCGATTTTAAAAAGTTGTATTAATACTTTAATTTATTTTTTTTCAAGTTCAAAATAACCCTGAAATTGTAAAAAACAACGTTAACCTTCCTTAGCTTTGAAAAAAAAAAAAAAAAATCTTATTATTAATATAAATAGAAGAAGATTTTTTTAAAGTATTTATTTATTTTCTATTTAAAAGTGGTTTTAAAGTTTTCAAATATTAATTAGTTATTTTAAAAGTAAAAAGTATTTTTAAATATTTTTGAAAGTTAATTAAGATATATTTAAAAGTACGTCATTGGTATTGGTATATGGTGCGTAGATGCATTGTTAGAAGAAATTTAATTAAGATAAGATATTGTATTTGGTATGTGTTGGAATTTCTTATGCTTTGGATTACCAAAAAGTTCAAAAAAAGCATTTTTCATTAGTCAAAATGACACACTAATTAAAAATAAACACAATTAAAGTTTATTATAACTTAATTGGTTAAAAGTGTATCGGACTTTATTTTAAAACTTATTAAAATTAATAAAATTTAATTTTTAATTAGTCATGTTAAAAATTATAGAACAATAAAAAAAAAAATAATATTTAAATTAAAAATAGTCATATTAAAAAGTACTTGATTTAATCAGGCATATTCGATGTTATAATAAGTATATTATGAATTTTAGATTTTGTGAGTTTATTCTCCAATCAATCTTAATAATTAGTAATAAAATTCGAAACTTACTCTAGATATTATTAGATAATTAATTAATAATTTTAGTGAATAAAAAAATAAAATAAAAAAATGAATTAAATGTATATTTAAATAAATAATTATTGATTTATTTGAATTACATAACTACTTAATTCCTTTAAATGTTCATTTACAGCTACAAAGTTAATAAGATAAGATCGTAAGATAGGATTTAGCGGGCTCGAAAGAGAAAATTGAATTCAATTTTTTTGATTCGATTTGCTTACCTAGCGAAAACAACCAGCCATCTGTCGATCATCACTTTGATTAAAAAGATCATGCCAATCGAATCGTAATCAGTACTCCAAAATTCCAAATTCTGGCTGAGGGTAATTTTCGTTGTCGATTATGTTAAATATTGTTTGTTTGTTTTTTTGAGTTTCAGGAAATTTAGATAATCCATTTGGTTGAAAAATTATGCCAATCTTCTTCTTCACGACCAGCTAGTTTTACTTGATTTCTCTTTAGCAGTTAGCTCTCTGTATCTCGGGGAGTGAAAATCACTGATGGATTACAAAGCTCTGGACTCCATTACTGTGGTTGATATTGAAGCTCTGGGAATTGGTTCTGAAGTTGCCGAGCAACTCCATGGACGTCTTGGCGAAATCATTCGTAGCTACGGGAATGACACTCCCCAGACTTGGCACCATATCTCCAAGCGACTCCTTTGCCCCGACCTTCCTTTCTCCTTCCATCAGATGATGTATTACGGTTGTTACAAAAACTTTGGTCCTGATCCGCCTGCTTGGATTCCTGAACCGTGAGTTCCACTCAAAACTTCGACTTCTCTCAATCAAGTTATTGCTTTTCGAGAGACCTATGTGTTGATTGCTCTATCAGTTGGGTTTTTCATGCATGTTTCTGTTGTGACATAAGAATTGGAATCTGAACATTCCCCGCATTTATTGAAATTCATTTTTGGTTATCTGTATAAAAGGTTTGTGTGATTGACATCTTGTATAAGTGAGAGATAGATACACTTATAAACCCTATAATTATAGTAATTGGCTACCCTTGTCAATGTAGGAGAATTTCTTATCTTCGAACCATGTAAATCTTTGTGTCTCGTTGTTTAGTTTTTGTTCGTGGGTGTGTGAGTGTGATCGATCTTGTTTATGCTTCCGTTACAACCATGGGTATTAGAGCATTTGTGGCATTTGGGTACATTAGTTTCAAAATGGTTAGTTTAGCGTATGGATAGTCTAATATCGAATTAAGAGGTGTAACTCGAAAACGAGGTTTATTTTTGGTACTGATACAAATTATAGTTTTCTAACATCGAGAGAGATGCCAAATCGAGAAGGTTTCCGAGAAGCTTCCTTCCACATGGCTTTACTATTGAGTATATACTCTTTTACTACTTCCACGATATTGAATCATCTAATTCAATCAAATATCATTGTATCAGCATCTGAACTCTGATTTGGGGGTAATCAAATACGGGCTTGCTTTTTTGAATTCACAAACGTTTTAGTGGTAATACTATTGTGTGGGATGTTAAGATCCCTGCAAAAAAATTCTATTCAGGTTATTCGTATAGAATGTTGTGAAATCTCATTTGATGCATCTTCAAAATTAGGGAGAATGCTGTTTTCACAAACGTTGGCAAGCTATTAGAGAGGCGAGGAAAAGAGTTTCTCGGGTCGAGTTATATAGACCCCTTATCAAGCTTTTCCTCTTTCCAGGAATTTTCAGTTTCAGGCCCCGAGGTATTGGCAGTTATTGATATCAATTGTGCAATCCATCTTTGATTCTTGAAATGCTTCGATTGAAGTTGTAGTTCAGAAGATGCAACATTTTCCTGTCTTCTGTCTGCCAGGTCTATTGGAGTACAGTGCTAGATGAGATGAAAATAACATTTTCTAAGCCTCCTAACTGTATCTTGCAAAGGCAATTTTCAAGTCCGGGTGCCCAATGGCTTCCTGGAGCAGTGTTTAATCCAGCCAAAGATTGCTTATATTTAAATGAGAACAGAAGTTTGGATGATGTAGCAATCATTTGGCGTGATGAAGGATGTGATGATCTGCCTCTGAAGAGATTGACACTTGGAGAATTGCGTGCAGAGGTTTGGTATATTACTATCTACCTCATTAGCTCTTATTTTTAATGACAACAGGCTAGTAGATTCCTTATCAGAGTTTTTCGAATTATTGAATATCAGCAAGGTGACGGCTTATATTTTACTGTACATATTTAAGCACATCCTGCATCTTCGCTCCCCATTCCCCTCGCTGAAGAATTTCATGAGTCATAACCTTCATTTCAACTCATCCCTAATTTTTTTTTTTACTATTTCCTTAAATTCTAAGCTTGTTGCCTTTCTTATGACCATATAAGTGAAACATTTATGATTTGTACATTTGGTGATGGTGGGAATTGAGAGATGCGAACAGAATAGATTTAGTGGTAAGAATTTTTCATGCTAATATGTTCTGCGCTGGGGAAATATTGCCATTTGTTTTTGTGGTTTAATAGTGATTTTTAAGTGATGTTTGGCTCATATATTGATATACTAGTACATCATTAAATATCCTTTTGTGTAAAGTAGATTCTGTCGGGATTAAAATTTGTAGGTTAGTTGCACATGCTCTCAACTCAATGAGTTTTGAGAAAGGAACTGCAATAGCAATTGACATGCCAATGAATGTAAATGCTGTGGTCATCTATCTTGCTATAGTTCTGGCTGGACACGTGGTTGTCTCCATAGCTGATAGTTTTGCAGCACGTGAAATATCCACAAGACTTGATATATCAAAAGCAAAAGCTATATTTACTCAGGTAAGTACGACTCTCCTCTTGAAAAAAGATGCAGCAGGTTTTGAAATGGTTTATTGTCTCTCTTGTTGAATGTGAAAAGTTTAAGCTGGTTGCAATTTTCAATGGCTTTATTTTATGAGTTTTGTTCAATTGATTTCAACAGTAATGTGTAGCTCGCTGTAAATCAATCTCACATGTTAGCTAACTCTACAAAGAGATTCTTTGTATGAGACATGGGATCCACAGATCTATAACTGGAACTGTATGGCTTGTGTCTAGGGTATTGGAGAATCCTGCAACGACGAAAGGGTGCTCCATGTGAGAACCTGTTGTTGTGATACCTCTAATCTTAGTCCCCAAGTAAAAGTCCAGTTAATAAATTATTGCCTCTATAGATTTTTCTTGTGTCTTTGCTTTTAAAAACTGCCGGAGCTTCCCTACTTCACTCGTCCTTGAATTTAGAGTGCATATTATGTATAGTGAGTCATGGTTAGTCCGATTCTTCGTAAAACAGAGGTTTTAATTTGTGCTTGAGAAGTGATCTTAAGATGATATTGGTTACCTCTTCCCTGGGCCAGCAGTCAATCTTTACGATGTGTCATTTGTGAAGTGCTTGTTTCCTGAACGGTTGTGACTCAATGCTGTGATAAACGTACCGTGCTGTGTATATTTATTTTCCTCCTCTAAGGTTATCAACTCTGCCTAATTACTTCTATGATTATTTTTTCTATTGGTTCCTTCTAGCAGACAGTCGAATTATATTTCAGTAGATCAAAGAATCATTTTAACATATATGTTATTTGTGTAGTTATCATCCTATACTCGGTTTTATATTCCTTTATCCAAATTTTTCAATTAAAACTGTTAATGAGTATTAGTAGGGAATATATTGTAAATACTTGGTGAGCCTGGTCAGAAGGGTGGTATTATATTCTATAGAGTTACATTGTTTCTTTCTTATAATCGGGATCCTAACAAAAACTTC